CCATTGGCCTTCTTGGCAGCCAGGGCACGCTGCTGGCTCATGGTCACCCTGTTGTCCACCAGGACACCCAGGTCCCTCTCCGCAGAGCTGCTCTCCAGCAGGTCCACCCCAAGCCTGTCCTGCTGCCTGGGGTTGTTCATATGTTGCTAATACATAAATAAATTGGAACTGTCTGATCAAACAGTGGTAGAAGACCCTCTTTTTGGAAGGGCTTCTATTAGGAAGCCAAAACACCAAGAAAAAGTGACCTTTTTGCCTTAGAGCATACTGAAAAGGGAAGGACGACTGAGCTAGACTGACTGCTGTGTCCAGCTGACTCGGTAGAAGCAGCACGGGTTTGGCAAGTGAAATAGAGACATTTCCTGAAACTGGAAGGTTAACCTCTGGTGGGAACACCATCTGCACGCTTACCCCAGCAATGTAGCTGCCTGTGGCTCGGATACAGCTCACAGCGAGACCGATCCCACCAGCGGACTTTGAGATCAGCGCACACTGCTTGAGAGTGTCGTAGATCCCCTCAATGCTGTCATCCTTCATGCACAGCAGGAAGCAACTGATGGAGACAAATAGCTTCAGCACACAAAGATTAAAACAAAAAAAAGCCGAGAAGTATTTCACTGGGCTGCAGAAAAACAAGGGTAAGCACTGAATCTTTAACATGCTATGCAAAGCAAACAAATGAAGCAAAACCATAGGCTGCAAAGTGGAATAAAGGACAGTTTCAAAAAACATCATGAGTAATAGTTGTATTACTGATACCTGTGTTAGCAAAACAAAACATTTTTATAAACATATTAACCATGCTTGCTACTTTGAACATATTTTAGAAAACAAGTACCAGGATTCATTTTGTAATCTACAGAAGACTATGCATATAAGTAACTTTTAAATAAAATATAGCCACGTAAACATTTCCATTACAGAATCACAGAATAGTAGGGGTTGGAAGGGACCTCTGTGGGTCATCTAGTCCAACCCTCCTGCCGAAGCAGGGTCACCTACAGCAGGCTGCACAGGACCTTGTCCAGGGGGGTCTTGAATATCTCCAGAGAAGGAGACTCCACAACCTCCCTGGGCAGCCTGTTCCAGTGCTCCGTCACCCTCAGAGAGAAGAAGTTCCTCCTCATGTTCAGACGGAACTTCCTAAGCTTCAGTTTGTGCCCACATAGAATAGTTTGAGTTGGAAGAGACCTTTAAAGATCATCTAGTCCAACCCCCAAGTTGCCGGCGAAGCGGCTGCGACCGCGAGTGCGCGGCCCCGACCCGTGCGCCCCTACACCTCGGAGCAACTCATGAAATCCGACAGCACCTTCTCCAAACTTCATAAACCAATCACCAAAACACAGCTACTCTTTTTAGAAGCTGTGAAAGCATTTCACTTGGACAGACTCGATCTCCAACACTTCACCTTCACCCAGCTGTGCATTAAGCAAACTTCAAAGCCAAAGGTACCTGGAAAGCTGAGGCCGGTTGGTGCCCGCGTTGAACAGCGTGGGGGAGGCGTGGGTAAACCACCTTTCAGACAGAAGATTGTAAGTCTCAATTGCAGCATCAATGTCACTTTTGTGGATCCCCACCGCCACCCTCATCAACATATGTTGAGGACGCTCAGCAACTGAAGACCAAGGGGGGAAAAGAATGACGTCAGTACGACATTTACCATTAGCACAGACAGATGCAGAGGTCACAGCCATAAGCTACAGAAGACGTGCGACGGGCCACTTGAGCCACAGTTTTCATAGAATCACAGAATAATTCAGGTCAGAAGGAACCTCCAGAGGTCTCTAGTCCAATCTCCTGCTCAAAGTCAGCTAAGAGAATCAGACCAGTACGCTCAGGACTTCATCCAGTCAGGTTTTGAAAAACTCCAGGACAGGGACTGCATAACCCCTCCCAACAACCTGCTCCAATGCTCAACTGTCCTCATGGAGGGGGTGTGGGGGGAACCCCACCTGTATTAACAGTTAAAATCCAATCAAATATCCAATCCAGCACCCAACTGCTCTCTCAGTTTATTATATTACAAATAACCTCTCAGACCTTCTGGTGTCCTAGGCTTTTCGTGCTAAGGGCCTGCAGTAACTGATAGCACAGAGGCTCTTTCAACTTAGTTAAGTGCTTAGCATTATGGAACAAGTTATCAGAGTTTATTATATTACAAATAACCTCTCACCCTTCTGGTGTCCTAGGCCTTTCATGCTAAGGGCCTGCAGTAACTGAGAGCACAGAGGCTCTTTCAACTTAAGTTTATTTAAAAGTGCTTAGCATTATGGAACAAGTTATCAGCTGGACAGGAGACACTTCATCTTCTAAACCCCAGATAACGTGCAGCTTTCCAAGCACTAGGGTCCTTCAAACAGACAGGGAAAGCACAGTTGTCCAGGTCACACCACCAGTATTTGGAACACCCAAGAAAACTAGCCACAGGGCTGCTCCTTAATGCTCAACTGTTCCTCATGCCAGCACCCCACTGCCACCACAGATGCT